AGTTATTATCTCTATGCTGATGATTCTCAAATCTATCCAGCCCTCTCTCCAATCTCACACCTCCAACTAATAGATATCTTGAACTCGATGTCCTAAAGATAACTTAATGTCCAAAACTGACTCATTATCTTTCCTCACAAGAACCCAGTGAAGTAGGTATTATTAGTATCTCCATTTTACAGCTGTGGAAATTGAGCCTAGGAGAGGTTAAATGACTCACACAGGGTCACACAGTAAATAGGAAATACCTAAAATAGACATAGAACAGAAATAGAAAACTGAAAACACAGACCTGACCATTTCCCTCCCCTACTCAATAAATTTCACTGGCTCCCCATTCCTTCTAGGATCAAATAGAAAATGTTCTGTTTAGTATTCAAAATCCTTCATAATCTAGCCCCTTCCTACCTTTCCAGTCTCCTTAGGCCTTACCTCCCCTCCTGACACATTCACATCAATCCAGTGACACTGGCCTCCCTGGATATTTCATGAACAAGATACTCCATTTCTGGGCCTGAGCATTTTCTCTAGCTATTCTCAATGCCTGGAATGGTCTCCCTCCTCAAATCTGCCTACTGATTTCCTCAGCTTCCCTTAAGGCCCAACTAAAATCCTACTTTCTACCCTCTTGATTCTTGTGCCTTCCCTGTTCATTATGTCCTATTTAATCTGTACATGACTTGCTTTGCATATATTGGTTTGCATGTTGTCTCCTCCATTAAACTGTAAGTTTCTTGAGGGCAGGGACTGTCTTTTGCTCTTTTTGTCTTCCTGGAGCTTAGCACAGTGCCTGGTACACAATAGTGTTTAATAAGTGTTAACTGATTGATAATTGAATGTAAATAAAAGAAAAATAGTAAACAGAATAGATATAGAAAAGTTAATATTGTACATGAAACTGGCCACCAAGGTAACTTGGTGATTTTCTTAGCATCATAATGAGTCAGTGATAAAGATGACATTTTAAATTTCTACAGGATCATAAAATTTAAAAGTTATCTAGTCCAATTGTCTCATGTTACAGATGAAGAAAATGAGACCCCAAAGGTTAAGTGATTTGGTGAAGCTTATGCAGATAGCAAGTGAGCTGGGATTTAAACTCAGGTATTTTCACTCCCAATCCAGGACTCTTTCCATTCTATCAAGGGCTTTCTTCTACTCTTGAACCATCCCTCCATCTTTGCTGACCAAACCATATTTTTTTTTTAATGTTGAAATATCTGACATCAGTAAAGATTATTCACATGTGATGAGAACACATCTAGTTTTTGAGCAATAAGTTTATTTAAACATATCATATTAGTAATACATGAAGGTTAACTTGTTTGCAGAATACTATCGTATAAAGATGGTAATATTAATAATAATATTAATGGTGGGGAGCAGCTAAGTGGAGCAGTAGATAAGAGCACCAACCCTGGAGTTAGGAGGACCTGAGTTCAAATCCGGCTTCAGACACTTGACATTTACTAGCTGGGTGACCCTGGGCAAGTCACTTAACCCCATTGCCTAGCCCCCCCCACCAAAAAAAATAGATAGGTATAGATATAGACATATAAATGGTGATGAGGAATGTCTTGACAACAACTTGTATCCAGTAATGTCCTTGACAACAACTTTTATCCAGATGAGACCCCTGATGCCCGTGAATTAACCAATCACACCCTAGCCCCTAATTACCAACCACAGAGGGACTTTCCCAACTTAATGCCTTCAAAGTACCTGCCATTGCTTACCCCATAGTAACCATAGAGCTAATTAACACTTTTTCCATCAGCCAGTCCTAGGCAACCTTGCTCTATAAGAGAACCTACTTTCACCCCAGTTGCCTGCCTAAACAGAAGAGCCCACTGGGTGCATTACCCCGAATAAATGGTTTTACTTGATTTGGAGACAGTCTGAGTCTGAATTCTTTTGAAATGACAACATAACACCTCAACAATGGGAATACTCTAAACATTAGGCTCTAAAACTATTAGAAAAAAGATCATTTTATTATAAGGAATGGAAAACATTATTTAATTTGTATAATGCAGTTCTAACATGAATTCCAGAAATGAAGTCATTAAATGTACATGGCATGAAAATTAACTTAAGGATCCCGGACTTATTGATGTGGGTACTCCTTCCTCCACCCATGAAGATAATTGATTTTCTCTTCAACATAAAAAGAATCTTCATGGGTTGCTATGGCTAAACAAATTAATCACCTGGTAGCCAACCATGTGGGAGTCTCTCCCTGTTTAGTATCCTGGCCACCTTTTCGAAATGATAGTCAATCAACATATATTAAGCTCCTCCTGGAAAGTATGTGCTCCACTGAAGTACTCAAGGAACCAGGGTCATCTCTATAATCTGACAAGATAGCCACTGGAGTATAAAACTTTAGTGGAAGTAGCATTCTAGAGCATATGGAAAAATATAAAATGGGAGTAGGTGGGACAAACTGTCACGATGTAGAACTGTAACAGTTTCTACATTCTTGCTCAAATAGATGCTTCATCTTATCAATATGGACATTTTCATTGTTAAAGATCACAATCCATACTTGCTGGGGTTTTGCAGCTCTTGTCTATGGCACCATCACATAAGGTTATCACAATCAATAAGTCAATGAACATTTATTAAACACCAGTTACTGTGTGTCAGGCCTGTTCTGAAAGGCAAAAGAAAGGCAAAAGACAATCTGTCAAGTATAACGTATAATAAGGAAGTATAATGATATAGTATAATGGGGAAGACAACACGAAAAACCCATGTACAAATGAGTTATATGCAGGATAAACTGGAATTAATTAACAATAGGAAGGCACTAGAAATAAGGAAGAAAGGCTTCCAACAGACGGTGAGATTTTAGCTGGGACCTGAAGGAAGCCAGGGAGGCCAGTAGGTAGAAATGCAGAGGGAGAGACTTCCACACAGGGAGGACAGCCACTGAAAATGCCTGAAGTAAGAAGAAGGAATGTCTTGTTCAAGAAACATCCAGGTGGCTGGTGTCACTGGATCATAGCGCATATGGCAGAAGGATGTAAGGGGTAAGAAAACTGGAAAGGTTGGGGGAGGCAGTCAGTGCTAGGTTATAAAGGGCTTTGAACACCAGAGGTTTTTATATTTGATCCTGGAGGTTACAGGGAGCCAATGGAGTTTATTTACTAAGTAAAGGAGGGTGACGTGGCCAGACCTGCCCTTTAGGGATGACAGATTCTTTTTTCAATTATTTAAGTATAGCTATGGCTATAATTATGTAATTTGGGGGGGGCAATTGGAGTTAAGTGACTTGCCCAAGGTCACACAGCAAGTAAGTGTTAAGTGTTTGGTCTGAGGCCGAATTTGAACTCAGGTCCTCCTGACTTCAGGGCCAGTGCTCTATCCACTGCGCCACCTAGCTGCCCCTTAGACCTGCCCTTTAGGAAGATTACTTTTGACAGCTTAGTGAACAATGGATTGGAACGGGGAGGCACTTGCAACAGACCGGCCAACAAGGAGACTATTGCAAGAGTCCAGGCATGAGGTGATAAGGACCCACACCAGAGTTGTGGTGGTATGAGAAGGTAGGACGAGTAAGTGGAAAGTGTTAAGAAGGTAAAATTGACCAGCCTTGGCAACAGATTTGATGGTGCAAGGATGAGAGAGTAAGGAACTCGAGGATAATTACCTAGGTTGTGTACCTGAGTAACTGGTAGGATGGTGATACCCTGAACAGTAATAAAGAAGTAATAGAGAAATGGGGATCATATGAGATGACATGAAAAAACCTTAAAGCACTATATAATTTTAACTATTATTTCTGCAAATCTTAAAATAGTTACTTAAATGCTATTATTTTTTATTGGAAAACCTAAAGCATCATATAAATAAATGAAGTATTTATTAAGCATTTACTATGCACAAAGCACTACTAAATTCTGGGGATACACAGAAAAATCAGACAGTCCCTGCTCGCAAGAAGCTCACATTGTAATGGAAAAGACCACATTTCGGTTGCAAGTCAGATGGAAAAATCCCATGGTCCTCAGAGTGTATTATTATATCATTATCATATAAATGCTAGCTATTATTATGATGTCAAAGGTTAATAAGAGTTTATTTAACAAACAATATACCTCTGGAGAATCCATGCATCTAGCTCTGCAAATTAAGGGTAAGCCCTGTATACATACTTGCAATTGTTAAAAAGCTGTCCTCCTCTGCCCTCTACCTGCTGACAACTACCAGCATTCATTCAAGTGAAAATCTACAGTACCATACTTTAGAAGCAAAAATCAGTTTGCCATCTCCGGAGAAGTGTCCAAAACCCTCCCCTCACTAAAAGGAAAATGTCAGCTTTTAATCTAAGTACACAAAAAGCAAAGAGCGTGGTAAAGAGGAGTGGGAGGGAGAAGATATAGCTGTGGAACCATGCCTGAACCAGAGAAGGAAGTCATCTCTTGGTCCTTAGGACAAAAAGTCAGCGTGGTGAAAAAAAGGGTGGCGCCAACACTCAGTGGGGGTCTCCCAAGTCGGCAGGCTTCCCACCTCACCTGTGCAGCCTGGTAGGGGACAGGTGCTGGGGAGAGCACAGGTGGGCACGCCAACGAGGGGCGGGGATGCTCTCCCCAGCTCACGCGGCCAGCCCAGCCCCACCCACCGACCCCAGGCCAGCGGGGCCGCACGTGAATGCGCCCCCCCCCAGGGCGCTGGGCAGCGACGGCTCACGGCAAGGGTCGCGGTCAGGGGCTGGGCCAGCGGCGGGAGAGAAAGCGGGGGACACTGGAGGATTCCGGCTCCGAGCCCCGGCTATTTCCGAGCCAAGGACTGGAGCGGGGCAGTCACGCCCACCCCGGTGCCCGCCAGGACTACCCCCTCCCGCCCCGCCCCCAGTCCCCGTGGAGGAGTGTTACCGGGGTGCTAAAACTCTCCGCCCGTCCCACCCCCCCAAACCACACACCCACTTCCCCTTCCCCACCGCCCACCCCGAGCCTCCTCCGGGGCGGGGCCAGGGGGGCGCGGCTGGTACTCACAGAGCCCACTAGATCCGGTGCTGGTGAACATGGTCCCGCTCCAGAACCCCCGCTGGGGGCAAGGTCTAGAGATAGGGCGGGGGGAGGGGGTGAAACGGTGAAGGAGTGGGGGAGGGGCGCCTGCCTCGTGGGGGAAGGGAGGGGGAGTGGAGGTGGGGGAATAAGGGGCCTTCAGCGCAGGCGCAGACGCAGCGGGATCTAAAATACCGCACGACTCCGCTACCCGCGATCGGAAACACGAGATGCCTGCGGCCGGTCATAGCGCATGCGCAAGCTCCCGGACGCACATGCTCCGTCGGCCCGCCCCTCTTCCTGCCGGGGAAGGTGGAGCTCTACGTTTCCGGGGTCTAGCTAAAGTAAATCGGAGAAGGGGGGGAAGTGTGGGAAAGAGGGTTGAAAGGTGGCGGGACCTTCACAGACTAAGCCTCCGGAGGGAGGGGCTGGGAAGTGAAAGGGCGGGGCTGGATCTGATTTGGGGTGATCCTCCCACCCTGGACTCTTCTAGTACGGTCGGCCCCACCCTTGTTAATAGTAGAAAAGATCCCCCTCTTCCCTCCCTCCCGCTTCGTGTTTTGGTATATTCGAGACCGCAGGTTCGCCTCGCTTACCCTCCCCTTCCACGCAGTGGTAGCGCCGGTTCGCTCGGCGCATGTGCCGCGGGGTTTAGTCGGGGTTCCTTCTCCTGTGAGAGCAGAGGCAGCTTCAGTTCCGGGGTGAGGCCGAGTTCAGGAGGTTGTCTCCATTCGCCTCCCCAGACGAGACGTGAAGTTGCTCTGCTACCTTTTTCAGGCCCGGGCATAATTTCCTTCCTCTCACTTCGGAGTCTTGCAAGGTCTCAGGGCTTTGCGGGCTGCGGGGAGAGCCTTGTCTTCCTGCCTGGTTCTGGGCTCCCCCCACCCCAAGCAGCCGCACTTATCCTCGCACTAGCCCGCCTGCCCCCCATCCCGTCGCCGTGAGCTCTCCTTTTAAAGAGGGGACCCAGCGCTTGACCGTCGTTAGAATTGTTGAGCTGGCGGAATTTCTGCTTAAGGATGTGTACCTAAGGATGTTCTCTCATAGTCTATATGTAGAGTTCTTTAATGTTTTAATTTGTGAGTTTTGAATATTACTTAATGATGGGGTTGGGATCTGGGCCCCAGAAAGGAAAAACCCTGGATTTTCCCACATGACCAGATCTCCTGCGTTTGCCTGAGGCTATAATCCTTTTAACTGGCCTTTCATCACGGCTACACCCAATCTCCCTTCCATAGTCTTACATCCCTATGGTCCCAGGCCACTTCCCACCCCTTGGTAATTCTATTACCTCATGGACTACTTGGCCACTCCTAGATCCCTCCCACAATCTTTCTGTAAAGTCCATCTTGTCTCCATTAAAGGACTCTGATTCTTAGAATCTAGCCAATGTATTGCCCATAGATGCTCAGATTCCTTAAGAGTCCAGCTAATATGGTGAGTCTTCAATAAACCTTGTTTTTGGCAGAAAGAAGGATTGTGTCGAATTCTTTGGGGTAGGACCCGGGCATTGTGATTTTGGGATTCCAGGACCCCAAACCTCAAGACCACATCAACTTAGAAGGTTTTTTTTTTAATTTCCATCAGACTAGAAAAGAGCCTTCAATTTCATTGACAGCTGACTTCCAAAAAGAACATTTATACATCTAATACAGATCAACAGCCGCTCTGCAAATAAAGCCTTGAAGAGTTGGGTGGGGAGGGGTAGTACTGAGAGGTTAATTGACTTGCCCAGAGTCTGGATCTGATGGAACTTGAACCCATGAGAGAAGTTGAGTAGTTTTTTTCGAATTTGATAATAACCTGAAAAGAATTCGATTTATCTTAGCAGAGCAGTTTGAAAATTACTACCTTGAACTCTGGAAATACTTTTTGCATCTAAATCTAACCTTAGAGATACTTAGATATAATGCATAGGCATCCTGGAATTGAATCCGTGCCCGTCATACACATTATATGGAAAATTCAGTTGTCTTTTAAATTTAAGTTTCTTCCTCTGAAGAGTAGTGGTAGGGTGGGATGGGTGAAATACAGATTCAGAGCTGAATCTTATATGTCCAGGACCATGTCTTTTCCTTTTGGGGTCCAGGTCCCATCCCCATCAAAAATATGTGTAAAACACTTAGCACAGTGCTTGAAACATAGCACAATACTTATTTCCTTCCTTTCTCCTGCCTTCCTTCCCTTATCCCCTATTGGGGAATTTTAATATAAGCTACCTGCCAAACCCCACTATGATTTCCCCAACATGAATCAACCCCAGGTCTGACTTCACAGCTGCCTGCTCCCAATGTCTGGCCCTGTTTGACCGTGATATGAACTTTTTAAATCCACTGAGCTTCAGTCATGTTGGGGTGCCCAACTCCATCTAGGACCCCTGCATACTGCCTTGTGTCCCTCTACCCTGACCATTTCTTCATTTTGTGAGTATCTCTCCTCGATAAAGCTTGCTTGCTTCACTTTCTCTGTCTACTGATGAGGTTGGGATCTGGACCCCAGAAAGGAAAAACGTTGGACTTTCCCACAAGACCAAATCTCTGACGTTTGCCTGAGGTTATAATCCCATCAACTGGTTTTTCTTTGTGGCTACTCCCAATCTCCCAATTCAATTACCCTGAACCTAACCTAACCCTCCATTGTTTTACTTCCCTATGACTCCCTGCCACTTCCCATCCTTAATCCTAGTTAGGCTCTGTTCTCTCTTGGCCACGTGGTCCAGGTTCCTGGCATTCTATTACCTCACAGACCCTGGAGACTACTTGGCCTCTCCTAGATCTCTCCCATAGTCTTTCTGTATATAAGATCCATCTTGTCAATATTAAGGTACTCAGATTCTTATGAATGCTCATATTCGTTAAGATTCTAGCATTTATGAGAATCTGAGCCACATGAGTGAAGCCCAGTGGTATTCCAAACCTTTCTAAGTCTATATTAAGACACTCCCTCTTGCAAGGGATCTCGATGAAGTGACTAGAGTTCTTCCTCCAATCTTGCCCCAGATACTTTATAATTATAGAAACTTGAGCAAATCACATAACCTCTCAGTCTCTTTTGTAAAATGATTGAGTGGAACTTGATATGATGCAGTGGATAAGGCTCTGGCCTTGGAATCAGGAAGACTCATCTTATTGAGTTCAAATGTGGTCTCAGATACTGCACGACCCTGGGCAAGTCTTTTAACTGTATTTGCCTCAGTTCCTCATCTGTAAAATGGGCTGGAGAAGGAAATGACAAATCACTCCAGTATCCTTGCCAAGAAAACTCCAAATGGAGTCACAAAGAGTCAAAACAACTGAAATGACTCAACAACAACAATAAAGTCCCTTCCAGAGCTTAAGCCTATGATACCGTGACCCAGTTAGGCTCTTTAAAAAGTATAGAAATTCATCCCTGGACTGGGGACTGTTCTGAAAGTGTGCTAATGATTTCCCAAGATGGCTTTATAATGAGAAATCAGATCAGTCACTAAATAATTAGATGATTATATTTCCCCTGCCCTAGATTATGAGGTCTTTCAGGGTCCTAACTGCCGTTTGGTTTCATTTTTATATTGCCTATACCCAACTGATGCTTCCTTGGATTCAAGGGTCTCATTGACATGAATATTCCCTCCATTGGCACAAGAGAGGTTGGGAGTAGAGATGAACTATGGTTGTTTAATATTGTATGCGGTGTCAGAATCATTGTGTTGGTTTTCCTGAATTTTTTTTTTTTTCCTTTTTCAATCTTTGTAAGAAAAAGAAAAGACTTGGTTAGGGAAGGTGAAGTATAATATTTGGAAATGAACGTGGTGTTAAAACAAAAGGTATCAACAAAAAACTTCAAGTCTTCTTGTTCCTGTCTAATGTTTTCATGAAAGATACCCTTGATCATATATGAAACATTCTTATAAAATGTTTATAAAGATGACAATGTAGGCATATGCATCACTAGTTGTTGATGTTTTTTCAATCATCTGTTTTGGTATCTTCAGTGGTACAAAACTGGTTCCATCAATAATCTTTCCTAATCTTTTGAAATCTTCTCTTCTTTTAGATGTCTTATAAATCAGTGCCTCTGTGTTTTTAATATTGTCTCCTCCAGAACAGATTTCTTCAGCATATATATTTGATCAGCCGTTCAAGTGCCATTGCTACATCTGAGCTGATAAGGTACAAATGTGGTGGTTTGAACTCTGGTTTCATCTCCAAGGAAAATACTTTAATACTTAACTCTGTGACTTAATTTATGTAAGTGCTCCCTCCAGTGGTGCTGATCCAGTCCATCTTCAGTTTTACATCCTTGTGTATAGCCAGTTTTCAAACACTCTGCCACGAAGGCCTACTCTAATCATGGCACAGAGATGATTCTGGGTCCTCAAAAGCTATGCTAGTAGGGCACAAGCCCTGGCAGGTTAAACTGTAGTAGAAAGGTTTTAAGAATGGTCTTGTATTTTTTCTAAGGACTGGCCAGGTTGAGTGTTCAGATGCTCATCACCAGTACTCTGGCCACCTGGTAATAAATTCTTTGGCCATAGCAACAAACATGAAACAAAGGTTTCAGCACACTATAGAAATAAGCATTCCACATCATTTGTTCTATTTATATCCATTTGTTGACCTTCCAGTTTAATCTGTAAATGTTCTCTCGGATGATACAGTTTCGATGCCAAGCTTTCTACAGGCTTCCATTCTGATCAGCAGCTTATCACTTTTATGAGGTAATAATGCTTATAATCTTTCATCCTCCTCCTCCTCCAAAGTGTTTTGCAGATGTCTTTGTACTCTAAAACAATGCTTCCCAACTTGTGTGCTTTGGATATTCACCTGCAAATCCACAAATAAGAAAACATAATATCTATAGACTAAATAATGTCTCATATGTGTTATAATTAGGTATGTAATTACTATTATGATTAATAAAGTATAAATATTTTAAAATATCTTTGTCAGCTCTTTAAATGTATTTGTTCAACCAACATGTAATATAAACAACATGTAAGGTTCTACAAAAATATTTATATTACAAAGGTCTCCACATTTCAAAAGTGCTGCTCTAAAACTCTAAACCACTGCTCTGAAACACTCATTGCCTATGATTTCTATGTCTCTCCAGCTTTATCTCATCTTCTGATTTGATACTGTTTTGACATTTGTTCTTACTAGCCATATACTTACATACATACAGCTAATTCTGAAATAATGGTTATATTTTATAACCAGTAACTTGCTGTCAATATATAGTCATTTTCATAGCCTG